GAGATTTACCAAATTGACAAGCTTCACAGAACTCTAGACTTTTATTAACTTCTACTGCTTTATTACAAGACTTAAGGATTTGACTCAATACAGGACTTGAGGGATGACCTAGCCTTCTATACCAGGTATCTAATTCAGACTTGACACTTTTGGTAGACTCTTCACTCCTTGAGTTTACTGAGAAGACTGAAAGGTTAAAATTTTTTTGGTGGCTCGACTTTGTGATAACTCTAGGCTTGGAGTTTGGTAGTTTTAGCTAATACAATCCATCTTTAAGAATCCCTTGCAACAAGACCTCTTTCGTTTGCAGATCCTTAACAACACAATAATTAGGATAAAATTCCATAAATACATTGTTGTCATTTGTCAATTGAGAAACACTTATCAATTTTTTCTTAATTGCAGGCACATGAAGTAATTTGTTCAATGAAAGGGTCTTATCACTCTATGTAAGAAAAAAAATCTTTTTCCAACATTAGCAATACGCAAAGAATTTCCATTACCAACAAGCAATTTTTCCTTACCACCATATTTTCTCATAGTATCTAGATTACCTTTGTCACCAGTGACATGGTTACTTGCTTTAGAGTTTGTGAACCATGCTAGGTCCTCCACGATGCTTAGTGAAGCCACATATGCAGTAGAAGGTGAGCAATTCTGTACTTTCTGGTTACCTGGTTTGCTACCCATATACCTGTCATCATATTTGTTGAAACACCATCTAGTTGAATGATTATTCATCCCACAGATTTGACAGGGTCCTTGATTTTCATTTATTCTTCTTGCTCTACCTCTTCCTCTTGTTCTTCCCCTGAAGTTAGAAAACCTTCCATTATTGTCAGGTCTAAAAGTTCTACCACTACCAGATCTTGTTCTCTGCACACCTGATTGATAAATATTCATTGTTTCCAAACTATTCTTAACTTGATTGAGGTATTCAAGCCTACTTTCAAAGGTCAAGAGAACAGAAGAGAGTTCATGCCATGATATATCTTCTCTGTTGTTTAGTTGCACCATAATAGGTGTGTATTCTTCATTCAGTCCAAATAGAACTTGTGTTATCAGATCACCTGAGTCTATGGTTTTTCCAACAATCTGCAAATTATCTGCCAACTGTTTGATGGCTGTAAGATACGGATCCATGGACATTGATCCTTTTCTTGTCCTTTGCAACTCTCCAATGAGAAAAATGCCTCTAGATCTATTCATTATCCCATAGCTTTCCTTAACTGCACTCCAAAGTTTACTAGAGCTAGTGCATCCCATCACTCTCATTGCAATTTTAGGGGTCATGGATGAATACAACAATCCCATTAATAGCTGATCAGTTGAAACCCATTTGCTGTAACCAAAATTTGGAACCATCTCTATAGCTTCTCCTTTTTCAACAACAATCTATGTTGCTAAAAACTTTGGTAGACATGGTTTCGTACCCAGTAGATATCCTTCAAGGTTGTTTCCTTTAATTATTGGCATAACCATGTTTTGCCATTGCAAATAATTATCTTTGTCCAGCTTCACCGTGTCTGGATGATGTTCATCCCAAAAGGTGAAGTCTGGTTTATAGGAGATTTAAGAGCTATTGTAGTGCTCGACTCGCTTGGAGGAGAATCAGTGTTAGCCACTGGTTGCTCTGATACCAATTTAAGAAATTATCACTAAACTCTATATTTGTTTTGGAAATTTTTGGTGCTTTTAGCTTGTCCTTTCCTCCATTTGTACATTAAATTGTAATACACGTATTTTACATACAGACGGAATATTCCTGCTTTTCTTATCAGTCGTTAACACGTCTGACTAATAATATTATAAAGTGGAGATATTCAATCTTGTTGATCAATCATAACAGTATCACATTTGTATGGCTTCAGAGGTTATTCCACTGGTATTTTCATGTTTTCTTTATAGATTAGCTAATGAAGTGGTGAAAATAGTACAAGCTCCTTGGTAATATAATTTTGTAGTGACTAGTGTGGTTAAATAAGAAAGGCAATGAGGCGAGGCGAGTTGAGGCTGGGAACTTTATTGCCCTGAGGGCTTGAGGTGCCAGCAGACAGTAGTGTTTGAGAGTGAAAGCAGTAGTGTTGGTTGATTTAATGGTCCATTGGCAGTTAATATGAGATCAGAATCGAAACTGATCCATTATCGAGCTTTTCTTTTATTAGTACCCTTTCGAGTGTATTAAGAGTATGTTTGGAACGATGGTCGGCCACAAATTTCAGTTGTTGCAAGAAATTTAGGAATGTAACATTGTGTTAGAGGGGATTCCTAGTTAGCAACTCCACGAGCTTTCCTTCCAGTCGAAGTTTTGATTTGTATTAAGAGTAATGCTATTCAACTATAATGTTGTTAATTATGGTCTTATTTGTACTTTTGGTTGTAATATGTCATTAGAGATTTTGGATTGTGCCCATGAGAAATTCTTTTGATTATCGTCAGATGGGTTGCAGCATAGAAATATAAAAATGATAAAAAATTTATTGTTATGGGCTGTATATTGACGTTAGTCGTAATATTTATTCGTGTAACCCTTTTGTTTCTAACTTTTTTTTAATCTTATTTTTATCATTAATCTTCATTAGTTAGAACATCTAGTGGCTAATAATAATTTTTGTCGAAAAAGTTATTGTTTAGACATAATTTTGTTATTGTTTACTTAATGCAATTTTGTTTAATCATATTATATTTAGACCGCAAGAAAAGCAAATGAACTTATAGTAAAACCTGTATGGTTAGAAACCCTATAAAATATATCTACTTAACAATCAAAATGCAAAGAAATTGTGATTCTTGCTTATAAGAATTGTAAATACATTGAAAAGATTAAAATAACTTTTATCCATTAAAACCATATACAGATGTACGTATGTTTGTGAGAAATATAGAAATGATTGGATATTAAAGAGATTTGTAATAACACGAGGAAGAATACATGAGGAAGAAATTTTGATTACTCCTAAAGACGAAGGACAAGAATGATGCTTTACATAGATTGAGGGCGAATTCCATGCATATGAGAGATGGTGGATGAAAATGCAACTTCTGAATTGATGGAGATGAGTTGCCTATCCTAAATAGTTTGAGGATGAAATTGACTCTTGGGGATAAATGGAATACTATTGACACTTTTGGATAGTTGGAGGATTGAACTTGTGAATAGTTGGGGAGAGATAATGGTGCCTCTGCATAGTTAGGAAACAACATTGAGGTGAGCTTCATCATCTAAAAATTCATTTTTTTTTTTCAAAGTTATTTTTAACTACACATTCTCTTAACAAAATAATTTACACATAAATTCAAAACTTTTTTTCTATTTTTTAATTATGCATTCTCTAAAAAATCACTATGACAAAATCTAAACAAAATAGGTTTCAAACAAAGTCCGATTATTTATAGTAATTTGAAGATGAAATTTATGCTTATCGATAGTGTTGTCAATAAAATGGATTTTGATTCGAATCCGATAAAATTAATGGGAAATGGATTTAGGATCTCAATTCGATAATCCGATCGAAATTCGAATTTGATAATCCGTTAACTAAATGAATCATATATGAATATAAGTCAATTCGATCCGATTTATTATAATAATATATTATATTTATGTGACACTTTTTTTTTCTATTTTGAAAATTATATTATACTTTACATGTAATTTTAAAAAATAATAAATAGCATTATATAATAGTATAATCTTTTTAATTGAAAATTTTGAAGAAATATAATTTTTTATTAAATTAAAATAAGATAAAACTAATAATATATTTATTGATTAGATGTAGTATAGTAATTTATTTTATAACATAAAAAACTAACATTTAATATGTCCAAAATAATTTACTTTGTTTAAATTGATATTATTTATAATTAAGATCTTATTGAGGCTATGATTTTTAATAAAAATAATTAAGTAAACTAGTAAACACTTAAAATTGACAAATGATTATGATTAGTATCACACACTAAAAGATCACTAAATCATTAAAAGAGGATAATCCTTTAAAAAAAAATTAGTATCGCACATTGGAATATCACTAAAACATTCAAAGAGATGTCTCTTTTAAAAATGAGTTAAAAGGAACATTACTTGACTTGAATAAAAAAAATGATTTGAGTAATGTTATTCGTAGTCGCTCACTGCGGCAGTCGCCCTACGTGGCATACACATGGCGAGTAATTATTTGATGCATTAATGTGATAGTTTTTTTATTTATTAATGCATCAAATAACCACCTGCCATGTATATGCCACGTAGAGCGACTGCCGCAATAAGCGACTGCAAATAGTATTATTCAATATAATAAGCGAGCTCATCAAGATAGTTGAAATATTTTTTTAAAAATAAATGATTAATTAAAATCTTGTTAAGGCTATGATGTTTAATGAAAAAATGAATAAAATTTTAAATTTCCTAATTTTTTTCAAATTCGGATCGGATATCCAATAACATGGCTAATTGGATTTGAATTTAACATTCAAATATTTGTCGGATTATCGGATCGGATTGAATTAGATAATTATTCTTAACGGATCGGATATGATTTGAATAGATCCGATCCATATTCGATCCATTGATAACCCTACTTATCTATGGTACCACTTAACTAACACTTGTGAACAATGTTAGGGTGCAACATGACATTTATTAATAGTTGGAGGATGATAAATCGATAAAGCATTTTTTCATTGGCCGAAGTCTTCCATTCTTCTTGTTAAAATTTTGAACAGTGCTGGGATTACATGTTTATTATTCACAGGCATCTTATAGATATCTCACAATGGGTTAAGTCGTCATTTTTTTCTTTTTGTCATTTTTTATTACATGAGGTCTTGCGTGGGCCCAACCTCTATGAGAGTGTTTTGTGGGAGGTCTGTAAGTTGCTGCTTTGTACACCTAGTTTAATTGTAAAATTTTCTCTTCGAAACTCGATAGGCTTGTGTGATCTGCTAGAACGATGGACCAACTGGTGTAATTGGGCCACTGGACTTCAGATACCCGACCCAACAAGGCTTTACTATAACTCGCACACATTCGTAATGTTCTTCTTGGATTAGGGTTTTACACTAATTCGGCGCATCCTCTTCTTCTTCTCCTACACTTCAACGCTCTCGAGTTGTTCGTTCTATTCACTCTGCAACAATGGGGTATGTATATTCATCTTCTTTACGTATATACTTCTATTACTGTTCTCGATGCATAGAAAAAAATAAGTGCGTAAGCCAGTACGAACTATGAGCTATATTCTTGGAAAAGTAATAATGTCGTGTTTTTGAATTGAAGATTGATTAGTTTTAAATCGCTGTTGCGTTACTCTGATTGGTAAATTAGGATGATAGGACATTAGTTGATTATAAGGAGATTTTAAATTTCGAGTGCTCCAGTTCTATGAATAAGGGAAACAATGAAGAGTTTGATAATAGGTTTTGCGTTACTCTTCCTAGTTCATACCAAAAGATTGTTGCTTTATTTTTCGATTTTTCCTTCCTTGTATATACCAATTCTTAAGTAGGAGATTCATTTATTTTATGTTGTGTCTTGATTGTGGTAATTGTGAATGTAGATAGCTCTAGAAAGTGCTAATATGTAATAATGTGGGGTAATTAGAAATATCAACATTTTTGTGTTTTTGTGTGTTTGAAGATTTCTACTGCTCGAACAGAACTGTGTATATTGTTAGGATGAAATGACTCAAAAAACTGAGAAACTTAATAGTAATCATATCTCTAAAACAGATCTGTGTATACTGCAAGGGTGACATGAGTCGTAAAACTTTGAGAAACTTAATAGTATTCATATCTCAAAGTAGGGAATAATGATTCTAACTTGTGCATTCTAACTTTCTGTTTCGAATGTGGTTATCGGAAGTATTAGAAGCCTGTTGAGGTTCATAATTTTTTCAACCTTGTCGTGGATTATTACGATTACTAACACAGACTTTTTCTGTTGGTTTCTCTATTGTTACTTATGTTCTGAATCTGTACAAGCATTATTACATAAACCTTTCAAACAACATTGTGTATAACTTGATTGGTAGTCTTATCTTCTTGAGCAATATATGATGTGAAACCTGCAAGAAGCAAAAGCAACAAGTGATAGTTTTTGAGATTTCATTGTGGTCAGCTATTCATATTATTAGTGGTCAGGAGACCAATCTGATAAGGCTTGTAATATAAACACTAAGAAAAATTATCCTTCCTTGCTTTTATTGCTTAACCTATGGAGTTCTCAGTGATGAGATGCAGTGCGACTACAATTTCTGTGTTGTCCACAACTAGCTAGCTATAAACATTTATGGTATTCCAATCATGTTGAATAGATTTATGATTTTGTAAACTATTATCTTTACAGGAAGACACGTGGTATGGGAGCTGGTCGCAAACTCAAGTCCCACCGTAGAAGACAAAGGTGGGCTGACAAGGCCTATAAGAAATCTCATCTTGGAAATGAATGGAAGAAACCTTTTGCTGGTTCATCTCATGCCAAAGGCATTGTACTTGAAAAGACGTGAGACCACATTCTACCTTGTTTGTCTTCAAAGTCAATTCTTTTCCAGCTCATATATGAATAACAGTTCCTTATATTGTTGTTTATGTACAGAGGTATTGAAGCCAAGCAGCCAAACTCTGCCATCCGCAAGTGTGCTAGGGTTCAACTCATTAAGAATGGCAAGAAGATTGCTGCTTTTGTTCCTAATGATGGTTGCTTGAACTATATCGAGGAAAACGTGAGTTCTTGTTATCAGTTTAATTGCTTTGATATTTTCGCTACTTATTTTCTATAATTCCCAACCTCGTTAATGTTTCTCCCACAGGATGAAGTGCTGATTGCTGGATTTGGGCGTAAGGGTCATGCTGTGGGAGATATTCCTGGGGTTAGATTTAAGGTGGTTAAGGTGTCAGGTGTTTCTCTCCTGGCTCTCTTCAAGGAGAAGAAGGAAAAGCCTAGGTCTTAAGTTTTGTTTTTTTTCTTTTTTTTATTTAAATTCCCCCATCCCCCCCAACCCCCCCACTGTTGTTTGAGTGCTTCTTGAGATGATGAATAGACAAAAGTCTTTAGATTCACGAACAATTTAGTATGCCATCAACTTACTGAACTGAAATTTTGATATTGTGGATTAATATTTATCATTTCTTTCCAGCTTCAACTTTATGTTGCAATATTTTTGTTCATGATCATTTGGCACACAAATGTGCTGTCAGCAAGAATGGAAATGTTTAACAAAGAGCATGTCTTTAACTCGATAAATAGCACTGTATGTACGGAAGGTTCAGAGCCTTTGAGGATACAGATCAAAACTTATGATTATAATGATTATTAAATTATTAGGCTTGATTTCGATGCTGTAGTTATTATTAGAATTTTAATGGAAAAGCTCAGGGTGCATTTGGTTTGTTTTCAGTTTTAAATTTATTTGTAATTATCTGTTTTGATCGACTATTTTTGAATTACAAAAAAGGTGTTTGGTTTGTCATTTTGAAAAACGGTTTTTTCAAAATAGAAAACTAGAAAATGCGTTTGGTTTAAAAATTTTAAAAATTGTTTTATGATATTTATTCGACTAATTTGATTATTTAGTAAAACATAATAATTTTATGTTGATATATTACTAGATAATATATATTTTAAACTTGGTAAATTTACTATTTTTTCTTGCTACAAAAATGAAATAATAAATTTATAGGCCTAAAATATGAATTGTTATAAAGAAAATAGCTTGTATGTCCTTCATCAGAAGGATGTATTTTCTTGTCAATTGGACAGTAAGAAAGAAAATAATAGTTGGAAACCAAATGCGCCCTTATTTACTTGAGTAAGTTGTCTGATTTTAGCAGTTTTGTGCATCAATTATTTTTTGGGGAATAATGTTATAATTGAATCTATCATCTAACGTCGTGTAATTGTTATTTATAACATTACTCTTTTCTAGGTGAACTTTTGGCAGCGTCATTGTTCCACCAGATACTCTAGGAATTGCTGTACGCATCTTTGCTCCATAGAATGGAAATTCTCTTAGAAACAGCGAAAAAGGAGATTTGGGGGAACAATGGACACAACCTCTTCGTGCACGTCACCCCCAATTTATTTCCCAAGGCATTTTTATTCACATTTTTTTTTTCTTAATTTCCAAGACACTTATTAAAGGGCATCCACATATAAAGGACCAATTGTATTATATGAGATTATGTTTCCTTTTCAAAACGTCTCATTGACAATTCAAGTTCGATGAATTTTTTGGGGTGCAATATTTGCGTTATTAAATAAAAATTGAGAAAAATAAACAGTTAAAACACACCACGTGCAACTGACACTGCGACAAACAAGATAAATAAAGTTCAACTTTAAGCTGACATAATAAGCTTGAAGTTTGGTACATAGGTACCAAAACTTCATCTATTAGGAAAGCTGTCTAGTAATGTTTAATATGGAACAAATGTTGAGCTTACCATCACATGTAATTTTGTATAAAATTTCCCTTCCGTTCAGTTTAGGCCTCTTTATCACCCTCTGAACAAAATTTACTCTCCAGGTATCCCTCTTCGACGGTCATACCCTCTGCACGGAATAAATACAAGTAGGTTCAGCTAACAATTTATTTTCAAAAATTCTGTTGTGTTAATATCTGCAGAAGCCAGAAGTGCAGGAACGTGAAGTGATTCAGGTGTCACTTGATGAACAAGAAGATGATTCTCTCTCTCTCTCTCGTTGTTAGAGAAAGCAGCACAGAAGAGATTCATCAATTAGAAAATATGAATTACCAATAAATGGATCCTAATTAATCTTCAAGAACAGTGTAACTATACCTGAGCAACAAAGATGCTGAGCGTGAATCGTATTTTTAGACGTTCTCTTTCTGCTCGAAAGTAGGCATGGGAACAGCTGTCTTTTCGACAAGTTGGACTGCTGATTCTTTAGAGGGATCAGGAGGACATTCACTGTTGTAAAACGAATCCTTGTGAGCAAATGGCTCTCTACTGGCTGCAGTTGTAGTGGCTGTTGCAGGGAAAGAGACTGAAGCAGAGTCTTTTGTATCAGATAAAGGTTCATCATTTTGGCTATAAGCATTTGTGTTTACATCAGTCTTTGGTCCCCTTAACTCTTGTTGATCTTCATTTTCTTTGCAGATTGAACGTGAACACTTCAGATGATTTTGGTCGTCTGATGCATCTTTATCCACTCTCTGCCCATTACTTTTAGAGCACAGAGCATTATTATCTTCAACAGGAACAATCTTGTTCATAACGACACCAATAGCTGCATCTATAATTTGCTTATTTCCATCTGACCCTTCGGTGCGAACTTTCTGTGATTTCAAATTTTTTTCTCCACTTCTTTTTCCTTGAGCTTCATTAGATAAGCTTGGAGAATTTTCTACTTCTGTTAAAGCATGAGAATCATTTGTCGATGCACATGATCTTTGTGGAATGGATGCTGGAGACCTAGCTTTTGGAAAATTAGGCTTTACATTTGCCAAAGAAGATACTGTTCTAGCCGTTGGAAACTTCCCAGTCTTTGGCTTTAAGTTTGAGCTCCCTTTGGGACTGCAGATAGCAGCTCCACTCTTAGTTAGCACATTGCCTAAGCCAGATTGAGTGCGCGGAGTTCCATTAGGAGTCCGAACCAATGACTTTGCCTGCAATGTAGCCAAGTATTGCTAAAGTTAAAAAATGTAAATACTAAAAGTTATAGAACGAAAGAAAAATATTTATAAATATTTACATCCATAATTTGAAACTAAAAGCAAGTATTAAGATAAGGCCACAAAACTAACCCCGTCAAAGAACCCAATTTTTGGAGATGGCATTCGAAGTCCTGATGGTTTTGCAGGAGCCTGGAGGGTACCACTTTGTGTAGAGGATTTATTTAAATTCTTATTAGGTAAAGCAATTTCCTTACTTTCACGTTCATCTGCATTTCCATCCGTAGAATGGTTCCTCAGACCAAAAGCGACGATGCTATCATCCACAGATGGACAGGAACTGATATCTAGGCTGTTCCTGGAGTTAATAGACCTTTGGCAGACTGTTGAAGATGATGAAGATGATGCTGATGCCGAAGACCACTCACTAATAGAACTAGCTGGAGATACACTTGAGGATATCTTAGTTGATCTCAGATAAGCTGAAAGAGTGGGTGGCGGTGGTTTACTCTTCAGTCCTACTTTTGAGGGTGTTTTAGTAATGGAACCAGAGGAAGCTGGTCTAATGGTGCTACTTTTCAATGGATTTCTTCTTGCAGTCATTAATGGAGATTTAGCAGTGGTTTTAGACAACATACTATCAGAGCTATCACTTATAGAGGACCTTGTAGACAGCACCTTGCTTGCAGTTGAAGACCCCAAAGAAGAGGACTTGGACGATGGTGCAGGCTTTGGCAATACCCTTCTGGCACCACTTAAGACGGGAACTTTTGCTGCCTGACTCCCTTTGCTAGAAACTGTTATTGTCAAGGTGATTAACAACAGTTCGTAACTATAAAAATATTAATTGATCTGCTGCTGAAAAATTTTGTATGTCATGAGCTCATTACCACTACTAGGTTTTGAGCTTCCAATTTCAGATTTGACATGACTACTACCCGTGGAATCCCGCTTTGCTGCTGATGTTGAAGTGAGTGTGGCCCTGCTGATAGCTTTGGGTGGCTTAGGACGTAATGAACTTGACTCGTTAATCTTAGTAAGAGACTGTACCAAACAAAAATATGGTTAGTGTCAGTCATTTAACAGAATCAGAAATTCCATGATACATATTATCACTAAGACATTCAAACAAATAGACGACTTCCTTATCAGATTGGTGGAAAGGAAATCCATGGCCACTGCTTACAACAATAACAACAAACTAAGTCTTGTTACAGATAAATTTGGAATCAGCTACATAAATCCCTTTTTTCCACTCCGTTTGGTTGTTGTTAGATCTATGATTTACAATAAAATTACATTTTAAATAGAATGCTAAATTTATTTATTTATTATTATTTTTTTTTTCCCCCTTAAGTGTGTTGGTAATATCTGAAAGTTTGGCATGTCAATATGGGAGGTAGCGCCATACATTGCTAGTTTGGTAATAGCTGAAAGTTTGGCATGTCAATATGAGAGGTAGCGCCATACATTGCTAGTTTATGCATTCTAATAAATACAGCACTCAGAGGGTGCTCTATCTAAATATAAGATTATCAAACATAATAAACCAAACCAACTTCGTATCTTATAAATAGAGAAAATAATAAAGGATGAGTTTTCAAGAAGAGCTTATTGTTTAATACTCTTGACATAATTGTCTAATGACATGGTGAGGGGATTAGGCATAGTATCCAGAAGCTCCATTCTTTCTTTACAGCCATAATTAAGAGATACTTGATGTACTGCTGAGAGAGAGTCTCCAAGTCAAACAATAACATGCCTGGGTTAGTTGCGAATGGCCAGAATCCTGCTTGCTCGCTTTTCCTGATCCTTGCGTCCCAACATTTTGTTTTGGCTGACATTTTGGCATCCTAATAGTTTGTCTGCTAGTATTCTTTAAAGCTGGTTCCAAGTGCAGCTGAAATTTGGTATCAGAATCTCCAGTCATTACAGCAATCAAACCATGATTACCAGGAGACACTTTCCAGTCAATTGAACGTACCTTATTTTGAGAAGCAAGGCTTTCCTTCTTCAAAGCTGTATCAGTTCGAATAATTATTTACCAGTTTTACAACAATAATGGTTTTAAATACATTTACAAGAAGAATGACTAGATGCAGTGCTGCAGAATAATAATACTCCCTATAGAAAAAGAAAAAGAAATCTCTTTCTACCAACAAAACACGAACATGAGACAGAATTCGCATGGAACTTGACCTTGTGCAACACCAAAAGAGAGCAAGTCTGCTATATACTAATCCTGATGTTTATACATGGATGCAATTCACAGGAAATTATTTGATCTTGGTACATGAAAATAGTAATTATTTCTTCTGTTCTGTAAATTTGGAAAAGCCAAAAAGCAGCACTCTAAGATTATCAATGTACGTTGTCATGCCAATATCTGATTCACCTCAACAGAGATCAATATGCATTCATGCTCCCAAACGAAATATATTCCATTTTATTTGGTTGGCATTACTCTTGGTTGCTAGAATTAAAATCCCTGCAACTGTAGGAACATATTGAATTCGTGAATCATCTGGTTTCCACCTTCAAGTGCAATTGTGAAATAAAGGTAATTATAGCAGTTAGCCAGCAGAACATCAAGTCGAGAAGAAACAGCATTGTACCAGTTCATAGTAGGGTTGTGATTGTAAAATGAAGCTGGATATGTTTCAGAATGGGCATTTCTCGAAAGATATCAGAAAGCTACTCCAACAAAGGTAAGATGATGAATTGAAAGAATTTATTTGAATGACACTCACCGCAGAATAGGTGAAGATGTTGAAAGTATATCGTAACCACGTTGCAAAAGAGTAACATGAGAATTGATTAGGTTTTGGTTCACAACATACTCCACATGTCCTCTTAATAGTCAAAAAGAATAATTATCATTTTGCTCGAATTTTTGGAACTAAGAACAAAAGTATAAAAAATTATGGAGAATGTCGAGTGAATGTGAAGGAAACAGCAGTTTTCAAGTTCAGTTTAAATATCAACCCATTAATTTTCCTGAGCACACACCTAATATTGTGCAGTGCATGAATTATAGATGAAGCAGAGATACAGTCATATACACCAGATCAAGAAAAAGGTTGCTTACTTGAAATAGCTTGGTTATCTATCTCCATGGCTGCTGACTGACTGATATTATTTGTCGCATTGGGCACCTTTTTACTGGATCTTTGGATGGAAGCTCTGATGTCTACAAACAAGTCATCCTCAGACTCCATTGTAAAATTGTCATTTTCTAGAGTGGATATAGAATCAATAGACCTTCTTATTTCCTCTTCAATTCCAGGTAATATATGATTTTTATCCTTTTCAGCTCCTTTAATCATGGTGGACAATTCCTCTGGGTCTAGGACACCTGAAAATTTTGAAATGATAACAGCAAAAATGATAAATGTAGAGTACAACCATACAATGGACTCACGTCTTGAGCTTCGATGAACAAACAGTACCCGCATTACTGAAGAAGGCACTATCCCATGCTAAACTTTTACGCAAATTACACCTTCCATTTCTTTGCGCTTTTTCAGGATCAGTTGATTCGCAGAGCTCAGGCATGTGGTCATCCACGTCAATTCCAAGAGTGGTGTTCAATACCACTGTAGGACCCATAACTCCCGAAAATTCACATGTTTTCGGTTCTGTCTGATTTCCTGAGAAGGATTCAAGTACATTATATCTAAAATTCCTTAATAAACAGAAAAAAATAAAAAATAAAAAAATAGAGAAATAAGGCATAGCATATAAATTGAGGAAATAATTAAGTTATCGTCCAGATTACCTCAAATTCTTTCTTATTTATGTTCAGGCATTTTATGGCACAATGTTATCAAGAAACTTGCATTCTATGCCCCAAGAACCCGACCCTAAAAACAAATCTAATGACACATCAAGACTAGCAGCTAAATTTCAACAAAATTTCATATAAAGACTGGAATTGAATTAAAAAACATTCCACTTCCCAGCTCCGAAACCCCAATCTATACTCGATTTCATATAGCGTAGGGCAAAAATTGGCGGAACAAGTATACATACAGAAAAATGCCCATACAGCCATCGATAAATCAAACCTACGCGTACCGACATACATATTAGATGCATCCACACAAATTAAGGATCTGAACCTGAAATTTGATTGTCGTTTTGAGACGACAGATCCATGAGACTGAGGGCTTCGGCTGCAAGATCGATTTTCTCTGAGTCCTCCATTTCTTGGTTAAATTGATAGGTCAGAATCTTTTCCGTGTAGATTCAAGAATTTGTATTTGCAATTGCGAGTGTCGGAGTCTAGGAGAGATGGATGGGACAATGGCAAGTAGAGAGAGAGAGAGAGAGGATGATGAGAGAGCGCAACGGGAAATTTTTGAACTGCCGAAGAGGCGGTTTTCTCCTATAAAAATATTTATTTATTTCAAAAGTTAATTGGGTCGGACAGGAAATCGTCAAATTGGCAAACTGAACAAAACCGTCATTTAAAAAATCGTCATTTTGGTACAAGTAGACACGTTAACGATATGATTTGAACTAAGCCTCTATTTTGTTCCTATTATTTCCTCATTAAAATGAAAAATATGATCGTTATTTATTACATCAAATCATCAAATTTGAATTTCTATCTCTTGTGTGGGGCCTATAATAACTATATTTTTCATTCTCATTTTTTCAAAAATGAGAAACAAACGGGAGCTAAATCAATCGAAATCTTAATTGACTGTTTGAAATAAAGAATAAAAAATATAATTTTGACTAATAAATTATCCTCTAGAATGAATTATAATAAATAATTTTTTTAATAAAATAATGGATGCTTTGGTCAATCGTCATTACCAAATACGAGTAATTAAGCCCTCATTTGAGCTACATTATTGTGAAACTGAGAATGAAAAATATAGTCGTTATGGGCCCCACACAAAAGATAAAAAGTCAAATATGATAATTTGATATGATGGATAATAGTCATATTTTTCATTTTAATGAGAAAATAATGGAGTTAAAACAGTGACTAATTAATTATCCTAATTTTATAACCTTATTACCAATGAATCCATCGAAGTTGTAGCCCTAAGCCCTTCCACCGAAGTCGAAACCTTCCCCATCTCCAACTTTCATGCCGAAAATCAAAGGCTCCACAATACCAACGATTTTTGCTTTTCTCTTTTATCACCAACCTTCTATTGAAAATATTTTATGATTAATCAATTTGTGACGATAAAGTGAACACGAAAGAAATATATAGCGATTTAAAATTGAAACAATGTATTATGCTTTAAGTTTAAGAAAACCTCTAACCATTTTAAATGGTATGGTTTAGTTTTGAGTTTTTCTCAAATCATTTTAAATAGTTTGATTTGAGTCTATAAAAAATCGGTCCAACTCAACCATTTACACCCATGTGCCAGAAAATCAATTTTTTGTGCCCTTTCATTTAGAGCATGTTTGGAAAGTGTTTATAATGGACATGAATGGTGAATAAATTAATAGTACTTGTAGAATATTCCACGTCATCGACGTCTCTTCTACATCCCCACTTTTTTCGCTTCTATATTTTTTTGGATTTCTACGTTGTTTATCTCTACACCTTTGTCCTTCTTCACTAGGGTTTGGAAGACTCTGAGTAACATTTTTTATTCTTGGAAGACTCTTGAGTAACATTATTTATTCTTTTTGGAGTAAAACTTTTGGTAATTTCACTTGCATCGTTCTCTTGATTCATTGTTTTGGTGTATTAAGACTCTATCACCAACCAAAGTTAGCTTATAAGCATTAGACGAGTGAGGCGATTACTCGAGGCCTTCAAATTTTATCTACCGAGTTAGGCTCAAGCATAATTGTTTAAAAATATTTCTCATTTTCATTTAAATTCAATATTTCAATTTTTACCGAAAATGACATTTTTACTGGTTATATATTCGGGTAACATGCGCTACTATGTTGCTTGTAAAGAAACATTAGAATAAAAACGACACTTTAGGGTGATTATGCGTTACTTGTAGAGTTATATGTATGTTACTTATTTTTTTGATTTGTATAACATATTTGATAGTTGATACTATGTTATTCCATCCCAAAATTTAACACCATCCCATTTTGTGTTGTTTTCCACCGACATTGCTACCTTCGACGGCGAACAATCATTTCTCTGATCTCAAGCCCGCTTTGTTTTTCCGACCAACACCATCTTCTTAACTTATCTTGACCACATGCCTCATCTTCTTTGACTTGATGCAAGTCAACTGTACTCAAAAGGTGCAATTTAATCTCTAGCACTTGATCGTTTTATTCTAGCAATGATTAAATCATTGCAGTACAAATGGTCGTTAGACCTTTTTCTAGAATGACAGCATTTGCCTCGTAATGGTGTATCAATGTATATACGGCGCAAGAACGTAAAGGTAATTGAGATGGTTGATAGCTTGATCTGATTATTGTGAGATTGACAATGACCAACAATTAAAATTACATGATAACACAAGGTTTGGTTTATGTTAGGTGTCCTAAGGGCATCTCCAATGCTATCACCAAAACACTGAATAATATTACCAAAATTTGGTACAAAAGTTTTCCAATGTGGTGCCATTTTACACGAAATGGTGCATAGTCAAATTTGATCTTTTTGCATTTGCCAAAGTAATTGATATAGGGTATTTGTATCATTTGTGTAATATATTTGTTATCACATAATTTTTATTATTTGATTTAATATTTTCATTTTTGTTGCGTTTTCACTAATTGTACTGTGTTTTTATATTTATTAATAAATTTAATCTTTTCTTTAATTTAACGTAATTATTTATTTAGTAATTTATGTATTTGTAAAATAAATAAATTATTAAGAATGAAAAAATAGAAGAAAATGATTAAACCTATTTATTTAGTTTACATTTTGGTATAATGGTTGGAAATAATTTTTAATTTTATGCAAATTTTGGTGTAGGGTTGGAGATGGCGTTCCATCCAATTGCTATACCATCTCCGTCACCCATTTAACATGCCCGAATGATCTTTCGTTTGTCAGATTATGGTCCCATATAATTATAAAAAACTAATTTTTCAAGAATTTTAGACCAAACTTCTGATAAACTTTTGACTTTAGACCGTAACCTTGTAATACTACTTATTATGTTCAATATTTCTTAGCACCAAAAAATGGCCTACGAGGCTTGGTCTCAGTCGAGTTTAAATTCTTTTCTCACATGCTTATCTACAAGCCGATGGGAACCGGTCCCTTCTAAAGAAAATTGCAATAAGATTAATTGTCCTAATTTTAAAACATCATATTTTATTCTACATCTCTCGTGGACCTCAAATTTCAAAATGTCACACTCCAAATAAAACATCACAATCACCCACAAAATGTAAATAGAAAAACACAAAACCAACCTGCGTAAAGATCAAATTACTCACATCTTCACCTATACGCGGAATCACTCGGATTATTGAAAGCTCAACTGCTTTTACAATGGTTCCTGATGCTACCAAAAATCATACCTGTTGATTTCCCAAGCTTGAGGATTTTGAATGAGCACGATCGTAATCTTTCGATACCTGAAACAAAACCAACAAGGTATGTTCTCGTCGCCCCTTCAATGCTTAAATCAGAAAGGGAATTATGTGCGTGAGGCTATATACTAAAAATAATGAGAACGTACCTGATCAATGACTCATGGTCCTGTATTTATAGTAGTAAGCGACTTCTCCTAGTGGGACTCAACTAGTTGGGTATCTCTATCCAACGGAGTCCTGTGAAGGAATCGGACCGATGCTATAATTATGTTTGGGATAAAATCCTTGTGGGAGTCAATTATTAAGTAATATGGTTGAGTTAGAGTCCCAATTACATTGGAATTCTAAAGGGTCCACAATCGTAGGCTATGAGGAGAACATATACCCGAGGAATACTCATGCTCGAGAACATGGATCATAAAATGTTGAAGCAGCAAGACTAGAAGTGCTCGAGCATTATACCCTGGGGGAGTATATGCTCGAGCAATCCATTTATGGAATCGTAAGTTCATTAAAAAAGTCCTCAGGATAAATGATCGAGCATAACCAAAACTTGTCATATCACTGGCCCTCGTGCATCCGACCGTGGGATCGGGCTAAGGAAGTTATGTCAGGGTGCGAGATGCATAGAGCTCAATTTGCTGATAAGTTATGTCGTCAATGTTTTAATGTTCTCGAGGAAACTTCAGTGTGGAAATAGCAAGAGCATGAGCTGTTCCAGTAAAAAATGAGGGGTTCCTAGATGGGAGACACGTGGCATGGGTCAAAGGCTGAGGTTGATTTGACCCTTGGTCTCCTCCCAAGGTCCTATAAATACCCCTTATTCCTATTCATTTTTCACTTTCTACTCTCTGTGAATCTTCAAGTGTAAGATCGGGGTCGAGCTATAAACTTAGCTTTTGTTGTTTGGGCGTCAGGTTCCTTGAGGTAAGGCTTTGGACTTTTAAGTTATTTCTTTAGTTTTAAATTGAAGAGAGATGTCGAGCACTAAGAGTGATCGGGGATCTGAGAGTTCGGGCGACTCTAAGGACCTTAGGGCTCAGTTAATACCTGTAGTTGTTCCTTTAAATGCTCGACCTAGGGAGCCATACATTGTCGAGCTTAAGTTTCCCGACGTCCAGAGTAGGTTTAAAGAACATCTAGCTATACAGGCGGTGAGGAAATATGGGCTCATGCCCTACAATGACTATAGGGCTCTCGACCCCGAGGATAGAATGAATAGGGCACGGGAAGGTGAGTTTGTGATTTTTAGGGACTCTTTAAAGGCTGGGTTCAGGTGGCTCGTGCATCCATTTTTTGTTGGGTTTTTGGTTGAGCATTCCATGTGCCCAGGACAATTAGTGCCCAATGGGTGGAGAATGCTTATTTACTTCTTCATTGCCTGTAGATACCTAGGTATCACGCCATACCTCGACCTATCTAGAATGGTCTCCAAGCTTAAACAGCTCCCTAGGTTTACATGCTTCGTCTACCTTTCTTCCCAAGGTTCCTATAGGATCCCGAGGATGCTTAGCTCATTAAAGGGGCGGAAGGATAAATGGTTTTATAATATAGCTCGAGATTCCGATCTTCCTTCTGGCCCTTGTGGGATATCCCGGACACAGCAAAGTTTTGTGAGGGACAGGCCTACTTCGAGACTCTAGAGAGGGATCGACAGATGTTAGAGGATCTCGAGCCCTTGGTATATGATATAGATGATATTCTCAGGGATGACATCCTCGAACTTGCGTGTGCAAAAGGCCTCGAGGGTAGGATATTTACTCCTCTATTAATTTATAAATTGTGCTCGATCATAAGCTCTTGCCTAATACTTCATTTTGTGCAGAAATGTCTTTTGATTTATCAGCTCTTCGTCGAGTAGTGAGCTCGAAGTCAAAGGAGCCCTAGGTCAGGGCTCCAGGTTAAAAGAAGGGGAAAAAGAGGCCCCGATATACACAACTGATGTTCTTCCTCGGGGTCCAGGAGAATCATCGAGTTCAAGGCCTCGAGCTCCGAGCCCTCTTCCTCCACGACAACAGGGGAGTTCTCCTAGACAGACTCCGAGGCCATCGTAGCCACTTCCTCCTTGGTTAACTCCCGAGGTGGTTGATCTCAAGGATGACTCCATTCCTCCCGTTGCCTCGATCATCGAGGATTTTGAATGATGCCATCTGGTCCCGAGCATTGTCGCGAAATACAGAGGCGATGTCAGGTTTGACGAGGGCATGAAGGCCCTCGAGCTCTTTACCTTGAAAGTATGTGTCGATCCCTTTATGATGTTGTGCCAAGTATTTTTCCCGTTCTTATCCTCTTTCATTTTTGATTGTCAGACACTCAGCATTGCCCGAGGAATTTCACTGCAAGGGATGGACGAGTCCCACAAGATGGTAGGGTTGGTTGAGGCCGTGGAGCTTCGAGATAAGAAGCTTGCCAATGTTGAGGCTGCTCGATCTCAGCTTTAGAGGGAGCGCAAAGATGCGAGAAACAAGCTGAAGAAAGCTCGGGATGAAGTGGTGGCTGCCAAAGACGAGGCTGAAGAACTAAAGCTCGAGCTTGAACAGCTCAAGAAAGATTTTGGGGCTAAGGTTGATGAGGCTCGGGCTTCAACAATCGAGGACTTTAAAAAGTCCAAGGAGATGGATAGGCTGAAGGGCGAGTATGCATTAGGCTCGTACCTTCATGCCCTTAAAGAAGCTTGAGCCTTCTTCAGGATGAAGATGCCCGAGGTTGCCCCTGAGGAGCTCAAGATGATCCCTGACATAGCTGAGACCCTCAAGTTGTCTGATTCCGACAACACAGTGGATGATGTGGTCGAGGATGAGGATACGCTCGAGGATGGTGATGCTGCTCTCGGGGATGAGGACCAATAAAAAAACATCCTAGGCCCCCACCCCGATTATATTTTGTTGTGTACATTGCCCGACCATAATGTTGGGCCTTTTTTTGTGATTTTTTGAATGAATGCTAAACTTTTATGCATTGTCCATTTTACACTATGCTCGATAAAAAAATGTCGATATGTCATCAAGGACAAACCTCGAGGACATGATCGTTTGATAAATCATAGGTTCGATCATAGGGAAATTTATATCGATGACTTCGTTGTATAAGAATCTTGATACCAAGTAATGAACTCGACCATGACAATGATCTCGACCATTAACACGTTATCCCGATGATTGAATGACGATTATAAACTACTCAAAAATCTCGATGACTTAATCCATATGAAGTTTCAAACAAAGGTAGTAACTCGATCTTAGGGTCATTCCTTAATATGGAAATTATCTCGAGGACTAAATGACAATTGTAATTGACGTACCTCAATCATTATATTGGGGTAAGCTTGACCTGGCGGATAGGTAAGAAGCTCAATCTTAACTTTGGGTCTTTATCCCGAGGATTTGGTTAAGCATATTGAGTATAGATCGGATGCTCAAAGGTAACAAGCTCGAGATTATTACCTTTGATGACTGATCTTTGTTCCCTTGCTTCTGTGGTCAAGGGTAGTCTCGACCTATGGTGTGATTCACGAGCTGAATTCCTGAGGACAACCCTACCTTTTTATACGTTTCATCACCTTCGTGCTCGAGAATTTAACTTGGGATTGTCTACCCTGATTGGTATCTTTATGTGTTTGCGTGGTGCAAGGCCTTGATTTGCTTGCTCGGGACAAGGTTTTGATTTGCTCGCTCGGGATAAGGCTTTGAGGTGCTTGTGTGGGGCAAGGCTTGAGTTGCTTGCACGGGGTAAGGCTTGAATTGCTTGTGCGAGGCAAGGCTTTTATTTGTAGATCATCGAATTTAACTTTAACGGTAATATACTCTATAAATTGTCTTGACACTTAGGCCTTATTGAAAAAATTAACTTGGCACGTAGGCCGATAAATAAACTTGGCATAATGCCTTATTGAAAAAAAATGACTTAGCACGTCGACCTTATTTCTAAAACATGGTGGAGCGGGTTACTTGTAATATACTTTTAAGTTTTCGGCGTTCCACGGCATTGCGAATGGTCTTCCCGAAGTATCCTTCAAACTATATGCACCTCTTGGGAGCTGTCGTATGACTTCAAAGGGTCCTTCCCAAACTGGCCCGAGTTTTCCCGGAGCATGACCAGCGGCTTCAGCCCTTCTTAACACCAAATCTCCAGCTCTAAATCTTCGCGGTCTTACTTTTCTATTGAAATACTTTGCTGTTCTGTCTTGGTAAGAGGCCATTCTTAAGGCTGCTTGATTACGAGCTTCTTCTAAGAGGTCAAGATGTTCAGTGGTGCGCCCTGTTTCTTCGAGATCAGGTCTTCTGACTTGGTAACCTTATCTCAATAGGAATGGTAGCTTCGATTCCAAAAGCTAACATGAAGGGGGTCTCTCCAGTGGCAGTCCTGTGGGATGTTCTGTAAGTCCAAAGTATGGAGGACAATTTGTCGGACCAGGAATCCCTTGCATCTCATATCCTTGTTCGGAGGTCTTGTAATATAATTCGATTGGTGACCTCAGTTAGACCATTACTTTGAAGATGAGAAACTGGTGTCAGACGGTGGTCAACCCCTAGGTTAGAGTAGAAATCCTTGAATTGTGCATTGTCAAACTGTCGGCCATTATCAGTTATAAGAACTTTCAGTATCCTGAACCTGCATATGATGGACTTCCAAACGAAATCTCTTATCTTGGGCTCCGAGATCGTTGCCCAGGGCTCGGCCTCCACCCACTTGGTAAAGTACTCAACTGATATAATCACAAACTTCAATTGTCTTCTTGTTATTAGAAACGGTCCGAGGATATCTATTCCCCATTGCTCAAACGGGGCTGAGCAGCTGATATTAGTGAGGTCCTCGGGGGGAGAGTGGATAACATTGCCAAATCTCTGGCACTTGTCACATTTCTTCACATATTCTACGGCATCCTTCTTCATGGTAGGCCAGTAATATCCATACCTTATGAGCTTAAAGGCCAACGACCGAGCCCCTTGATGGTTCCCACATACTCCTTCATGAACTTCCTCTAGGGCTTGGGAGGATTTCAAGGGTGTAAGGCACCTAAGGTACGGAAGTGTGAAGCTTCTACGGAATAAGACCCCATTGATAATGCAATACCTTGGAGCTTTCGAACAAATGATTCTAGCTGCTCAAGGATCTTCTGGAAGACCATCATTTGTTATGAAATCCACAATTAGGTCCATCATTTGTTATGAAATCAACAATTGGTTCCATCCATGACGGCTCATGATCAAAGTCCATTACCCCGATGGTTGGATTGATGCTGGGCTCAGCCACAACTCTAACATGTACTGTCTTGTCAAGTCCATCTACTCCTATGAACACCAGCCTTGATAAGGCATCTACCTTGCACTTGTCAGCTCGGGCCATCTTCAAAATTTCACAGCTCTTCAATTTCCATCGGAAATCAAAAACTTTTAAACAGTATAAGCTCATTTTCTCGTCTTTCTTCTCGAATGTACCGTCAATCTGGCCAACCACCAACTTGGAATCACTAAAGATTTTGATGCTTTCTAGTTTGAGATTAATGGAAAGTTCTATGGCTATGATGACAGCTTCATACTCTGCTTCATTATTGGTTGCCTTGAATTCGAACCTTAGTACACACTGAATGTCTGTGAGCATGTTCGGGCTTGTGATGATGACCCCGGTACCCGAGCTCGAGGAGTTTGATGCTCCGTTTGCCAAACATCTGTTCTAGTGCTCGAGCTACCATCTGGCCCCCCAGGCCTTGGGGTGAGTTCTGCAATGAAATCCGCCAAGGCTTGGGCTTTGATGGATGGACGGGGTTTGAACTCTATGTCAAACTCTCCAACTTCAGTTGCCCACTTTAGTAACCTACCTGAGATGTCTGGCCTTTGAAGGATGTGTTTCTGAGGCTGATTAGTGGCATCACAATGGGATGAGACTGAAAATATTGCTGAAACTTTCGTGCTGCCACTATTAGGGCAAGGACAAGCTGTTCGGCCAAAGTGTACCTTGTCTCTGCATCAAGTAAGACTATATTTACATAGTAAATGGGTTACTGGGCTCTGTTGACCTCTTTTACCAAGAAGTTGCTCACTGCGTTCTGAGACACAGTTAAGTACAAAAATAAAGTGTCCCCGGACTCTGGTTTAGTGAGGGTAGGAGGAGAATCCAATGTCTGTTTAGCTCCTGAAAAGCCTTCTCACACTCCTCATTCCATTCAAAGGATTAGCTGTCTCTGAGAGCTTTGACGAAAGGGATGCACTTGTCTACTGCTCGGGACATGAATCTGTTTAGGGTTGCTACCCTACCTATCAACTTTTAAACCTCTTTCTTAGTCCTAGGTGATTCCATTGCTGCCAGGGCCTGGATCTTATCAGGGTTTGTTCGATCCTCCGATGAGTGATCATGAAGCCCAAAATTTTTTTCGAAGCCACACCGAATACACACTTTTCTAGGTTGAGCTTCATCCGATATTTTTGTAGGGTGAACACTTCCTCATGGTCGGATATGTTATGCTCTACTTTCTTACTCTTTACCACCATATCGTCAACATAGGCCTCAATGTTCTTCCCTATCAAATCAGCGAAGACTTCGCTGATGAGCCTCTGCTATGTTGCCCCAGTATTTTTCAACCCAAACGGCATCATCCTGTAGCAGTTTATGGCTGAATCAGCCATAAATGAAGTCTTCTCTTGGTCTTCCTTGGCCATGAGGATTTGATGATACCCTGAGAATGCATCTAGGAAGCTATACAGCTTATGTCCAGACGTGTTATCCACAAGATTGTCTATCTTGGGGAGTGGGTAACAGTCTTTAGACCATGCCTTATTGAGATTCGTAAAGTCGATGCAGACCCTCCATTTGCCACTGGCCTTCTTCACAAGAACAACATTAGCGAGCCAATCGGGGTAGTGGACATTCCTTATGACCCCGCTCTCACTAGTTTGCCGATCTCTTCCTAAATGACCACATGTCTTTTCGGCGCAAACCGCCTCTTTCTTTGCTTAACAGGTTTGGCCACTGGGCTTATGTTGAGCCTAAGGACCGCTACTTCGAGGTCTATCCCTGGCATATCCTCGCCCTTCCATGCAAAAACATCGATGTTGCGAGATAGGTAATTGATGACTTCCTCTCGGAGACTGGCCTTAAGATCTCGACCAATAGTTACCATTTTTCCATGCTCGAGCTCGACCACTTCCAATTCCTCAACCGGGGCGAATCTACCTCTTGGCTCGAGCTTGAGGTCTGAAAGTTGCATGATGTCTGTACTCATTCCTTGGATGTTGGTAACATAGCACTGTTTGGAAGCTATTTGGTCTCCTCAAGCCACTCCGATGCCATGACCTGTTGGTAACTTCATGATCAGGTGAAAAGTTGATACAATGGCCTGATCTTGTTCAACAGGGGTCTTCCCAGAATGATGTTGTAAGCCATAAGAGTGTTAACCACTTGGAAGGGTGTGATCTCTATCACTTGGGCATTGTCAGAGCCCAAAGTAAGTGGAAGCTCGATGATTCCTTTCGGGATAATGACTCCACCACCAAATCCTTGTAGAGGAGTTTTGACTATTTTGAGCTATTTGGGAGAGATCCCCACCTTAGCAAAAGCTTCCTGTGAGAGTATATTTGCTGCACTCCCGTTATCGATTAGAATCCTCTTTACTTCGAAGTTAGTCACAATTACAGAGACCGACAAGGCATTGTCTTGAGGATATGACACTCCTTCCAAATCCCTTGCCCCAAAGCTAATATCTTTCACTTTATCATGGGATTCCCTTGGGGTATGAGCATGTCGACAGGCATACTACTTTCGCCCACTGTTTGTGTCTCCTCCAGATGCTATGCCTCCAATGATAATATTAATGGTCCCGGCAGTGGGTTGAGCACTGCTTCCTGTTCGAGGCTCTTTCCAATTGTCACAGTCATTCCTCGGGCATTTATCATGACCGATGTAATTTCTTAAGAGCCCTCTTTTGATGAGGACTTCAATCTCCCGCTGTAAGGCTTGACAATCCTCCGTGGTATGCCCATATTCACAATATTTGCTTATATCTCTTATGTCAGGGAGCGGCTTCATCCTTGAAGGCCACTTCAACTCTTTCATATCCTTGATCTCCATCAAAATATTTTCCTTAGTCGTGTTCAATCGGGTGAGAGGCCTTGACGACCCTTCATTCTTGTGCTTGTCCCGAGGATGCTCAGGTTGGGAGATGACGTCACGCTGTCTCTTATTCTCGGCCCTTTCATAAGAAGGACCAGGTCTACTTGGGTTCAGCGTTTCTTCCATATTCATGTATTTTTCAGCTCCTGTAAGGAACTCGATTACTGTCTGTGGCGGGGTCTTTGATAGGGACATTTTGAAGGCTTCACACCTTTGGCATAGGTGAGGGCGAAAACTGCTGTCGTAATGTGAACATCAGGTATTTGAAGTCTTTCCTTGTTAAACCTCATCATAAATCCTAGTAGGGTTTCATTTGGTCCCTAGCGAAGTTGCATGAGAGAAACTGCAGTCTTTCTGATACGCTTGCTACTTGCAAAGAAGGCTGAGAACTTATCAGTCAAATCTAAGAATAAGGCTATGGAGTTGGGCTCCAATGTCGAGAACCAATCCCTAGCAGCATTAGTTAGCGTTTGTAGGAAGACTTTGCACATAACTTGATCCGGCGCAACTTGCAAATTCATGACATCGGTATATACATTGAGATGATTGATTATTAGTCGTCCTATCATACGCCTTAATGCAAGGATACTTAAATCTGTCGAGCAAGGGATATGATAATATCTCCGGCGTGAATGGAGTGTTAGAGGTAAAACTTGTTGGTCCCCGAGCATTCCGTTGTAGGCCAGCCTAATTCCTTCCTGTATGATCCGGGCAATCTCTCTGAAATCCATGGTAACCGATCTCGAGCCCGAGGCCATGTTACGAATACTCGAGGTCCCCACTTCGCCAGTTGCGGGGTTTGGTGCTCGGGCTGGGCATCAGCCATAAAACTACCATGCTCTACTTGCACCGGTGACGGATGCGAATTTCTTTGACTTAACAACGTGTTAGCGTGACCATCTGCTGACGGAACTCTTCGAAAGCTTCAGTTGTGACGGCCGTTGGCTGAGGTGCGGGTACTCCTGACGGCTCTTCTTGAGGAGCCGGTTGATCTTTAGCAGGATGAGGGATGGGAGCGGATGAGCTTACGGAGGGAAGATTTGATCGTGTGTTAACCATGGCTTTTGGTAGCGTTTCCCACAGATGGCGCCAATGATGCTACCAAAAATCGTACCTGTTGATTTTTCGAGCTTGAGGATTTTGAATGAGCATGATCGTAATCTTCCGATACCTAAAACAAAGGCAACAAGGTATGTTCTCATCGCCCCTCTGATGCTTAAGTCAGAAATGGAATTATGTGCGTGAGGCTATATACTGAAAATAATGAGAACGTACATGATCAATGACCCATGGTCTTGTATTTATAGTAGTAAGCGACATTCTTTTAGTGGGACTCAACTAGTTAGGTATCTCTATCTAACGGAGTCCTATTAGGTGAAGGAATTGGACCAATGCCATAATTATGTCAGGAATAAAATCCTTACAGGACTCAAGTATTAAGTAATATGGTTGAGTTAGAGTCCCAATTATATAGGAATTCTAAAGGGTCAACAATCGCAAGCTATGAGGAGAACATATACCCGAGGACTACTCATGCTTGAGGACATGGATCATAAAATGTTGAAGCAGCAAGACTGGAAGTGCTCGAGCATTATACCCCGGGGGAGTATATGCTTGAGCAATCCATGTGTGGAATCGCAAGTTCATTAAAAAAGTCCTCGGGATAAATGATCGAGCATAACCAAAACTTGTCATATCAGTATCTATATTCTTTTCAGGCTACATATATTCAACAGAGTGGATCATTGACAGATTATAAGGGGTTGTTCTCTTCGCCATTTTCAAGTCGCTTTCTGTTTCGATTTTTCAAAACGGGAAAAATGCGTTCTCTTTCTCATTTTTGAAAATGAATCTTGGAAAACGAAAAAAAAAGTAAGAAAAACGAAAAATATCTAAAAAGACGTTTTGAGCGTTTTAATGCCAAATCACGGAAATGAACCAAAAGGCCAAAAACAGCCCTAAATTCCACTTCTTCCAAAACTGTGCGTGAGAGAAGCGTGAGAGAATCACCGCATTCTTCCTCAACAATCGACCACCACCCACCACCTAGACCAGACCCCAGTACCATTTGAACCCCCTCGCCTTCCTCTTCAACCTCTTGTCGTCACCGGGCCACAGAGTTGTTGAAAATAGCCCCAATTACCACCCAAAATCACGTTTACAATCTTCGTTTTCACCATATTTCTACCGTCGTCAGCCACCGTTTCGATTGCGGACCATCACCACTCCACTCCTCTCAACCAAGCCCATCCAATACCACCATGGGTCACCTGCACTTGTGAAAGCAGTCCGTGAGTTGTGAAATAGATTTGGTCCCATCAAAATTGATGAAATTTATGATGGGTAAGCATTTCATTTTTGGTTTAATTATTTATGTGTTAAATTTAACGGTTTGCGAATTCACATTCTAATACTTTGTCTTTCCCCTGTCCCTGCAACCTCATTTCTCTTATCGTAAAAATTTCCCATTTTTTCTCTTTAATTTTCTGCTCCACTATACATATATACACATGCGTATATATAGCTAGAGATATAGAGTTGTGAAATTGGCAATGGTATTTTTGAAGAAATGTGTGCTCTTTGTTCTTTATTGTTGTTAATGCTCTTCATTAATGCCGTAGCCAAATACCAGAAAGATGAATGTTGTGGAATTGCTGCTTTTATTGGAATATTTTGCATATTGTTTGTGCAATGCATACTCACGGATTGGAATTTGCTGTTCTTAACCGAGTGTGAGTGTATGCACTTTATGTTGGGAATCTACTTAACATACGCAGTGGAAATTAAAATAATTTCGATTCCCGTCAGGATTCATCTTTGTGTTTAGATAGAAATTATGATAAAAATAATACTTTTTTCACGATCTGCAAACTCCTTTGCCTCATCTTTGTTTCAGCAACTTGGATCTGTCTCCCACAACTGTTCAATTGTCCAGCCTCCAATGGTGCTCCACATAGAGAACAGATTGCAGCTACCAGAGTTTTCTCCTCTTGTGCTAGTAAGAAATTATGAGAAAACTATATGGATTGAAAACTCTAGTCATGTATTTATATAAGCCCAAACAGGTCTGACCTGGTCCGATCCAATATTTAATTAATCCATTTAATTAAATCCGGTCCGTGAATTAATTAATCCAATTAATTAATTCGGGCCTATAAATATCCAACCCAATTAATTAATTTATCCAACAATTGTAAAATTAATTAATTGACAAATTGCAATCCTCCAATTCTTTTTTGTGTGTGACCCATCAGGTTCCCGATCACGATGCCTAACGACGTGAAATATTATTTTGATCTAATCAAAATTGATAAATTAAAACACCCTTTTAATTTATCACCAATTCACACTCGCCGTCCCGGATTGACATCTAGCAATGTAT